GCGCCCCCCCCCCCCGCGCCCCCCCCCCCCGCCCCAGCCAATGGCCCGCCGGGGGTGGTGACTGCAGCTGGGCCTGCAGAGACCGCCGGGCCGGCTCGCCTGAGCTCGCCCGCTGTCCGCCAGCCCTCCGGGGGAAGGGTGAAGTGGAGTGCTTCCGCGGTTGACTGCGCGGCGTCCTGGTCCCAAGTTGCCCCGTTGCGACGCTCCTCCCTGACAGAGAGGCTACCTCTGACTTTTTGAATCCTATCAAAGAGACAGGGTAACCTTCAAGCTGGCGGGAGCAATGGTTCACATCAAGAAAGGCGAGCTGACCCAGGAGGAGAAGGAGCTCCTGGAAGTCATCGGGAAAGGTATGGTATGGGTGCTGGGGCGCCACCGGGGGCAGGGGAGTCCAGCCTGGTCGGGGGGCGTGGCAGAGTCTGGGGGCTTCCTTGGTCCGGGTGACTTTCTGCTGCGGTTCTGCAGGTTGGCCATCTTCGAGAGGGAAAAGGCATTTTTTTCCTTTTTGGTTTGGGACCACTAGGTGGGGGATAGAGGTGCGGAGGGGAGTGGAGGTTGTGGGGGCGGGTCCTTTAAACCAGCGTTTGGAAACACATATTTCCACCACCCGGGTGATGACCATGGGGCGTGGGCCCCAGGGCGTGCATTCTTCAAAACTCGTCGTGTGATTTAGGCCCGGGTCCGTCTTTGCGACAGTGGCCTGGTGGTTTCGGGCTCTGAAGCGAGTGTCCAAAGGGCCCTTTTGAGTTCCGGAAGCCGGATGATCTGGATCCCTCGCTGGTCCCCGCCCCCGCTTGGAGGTGGCGGGAGCTCCGAGTGAGTGCCAAGTTCTTTATAAGGGCACAGAAATAGGGCCATAATTTGCCGCATTGAGGCTTCTGTACCCAGGGGCTCTCTGGCTTCCTTCCAGAAGAAACCCACAGAGGTGAGGTTGGGGAGACATCCACACCCACCCTTCTGCCCACGTTGCCCCGCTGCGATCTTCTAGTCCCGCTCCTCTGCCCTTTCTCTCCCACGCTCCCTCCTTGTTCCACTTCCGCTGAGCTGGGTGGTTAATAGGGAGGGAGTCTCCGAGGGGAGCCCGAAGCCATGTTCCCTAGTTCCCCAGTGGACGTCCCAGAGGAGTTCCCTGCTGAGTCCCGTTACCTGGCAGGTGACACAGAGTGACTGCGTGCTTCTCCTGCACCGTCCCGCGCGGGGATGGCGACGCGTGGGAATGCTGGCATAATTAACGTGCTTGTTTTAAACTCACGAATAAGACAGTCACACCTGCCTTCGAAGGGCGGAGAGGGCAGTTACTGCAGTCTAAGGCTTCCCCGTTGCCCTAGGTAGCCAGCCTCAAATGTGGAACCTCAGAGAATAAGGCAAACGTGTGGTTCATAACGACAAGAAAAGTCTAAATGGAAATGGAAAAAAAATCAGGTTTGAATTCAACAAGTGCTGGTGAGCTGGGCTCGCCCCTTCTGGTGTCAGCAGTCATAAATCAGTCAGAGCTACAGACTATGATGTTCATAACAAGAAAAGTGTAAATGGAAATGGAAAAAAAAATCAGGTTTGAATTCAACAAGTGCTGGTGAGCTGGGCTCGCCCCTTCTGGTGTCAGCAGTCATAAATCAGTCAGAGCTACAGACTATGATAAGTGTTCCCTGCCTGAAGTGGGGGGCACTTTGGATTATTATTATTTGTACTGCAGGATTGTTGCTGACTTATTTGGCACTGCAGTCTTTCCATCCTGCCTGTCTTGAGGTGGTTTTTCCTTGCCTTTGGTGACTCCCAATCAATGTAGCAAGTAGGTGAGTCCCCGCTGTGTGCCAGGGCTGAGCTGGGCAGGCACATGGAGCAAAAGACTCACTATTCCTATGGGATGGGAATTCTCAGTTAAAGCAGGCCAGAGAGAGCATATGACCTCTTAAAAATGAAAACCAGTGAGCAGTTTTATAAATTGGGTCCCTGAAAGGGGACAGAGAGTTATTGGATTTAATCCTCAGATGTCCACCAGTTTTGATTCTGAGGATTACATCCAATAGGATTAGAGTGCATTTATTCTGGTTGGCACTGAGATACTTCCCGGCCTGAATCACCCCGAGCTCAGTCTGCATGGACTGGTAGATGCTTTAATTGGCCCAGGCCAGAGAGAAAAGAACTGAGGTGGGCGTCCTATGTGAAGCCTCTTGTCCAGTGAAGGTCAGTGGGACGTCATGTACTGAGTGGGACTCTCAAAGAAAAGTAATGGGAGGTAGGAGAAAATGACAACAAAGCCAAATAACGATATTTATTGAATGTTATTCAAAGCCAGGCATAATTGTAAATACATGTATTAGTATATTTCATTTTGATGAGTTAGAAATTATTTTTAAGCTTACAATGTGAGATGATAGTTAAGCTTGCAGGAATGGTTTCCAGCACTACTTCAGTCATTTGCTGGTGATGTGGCCTTAGACAAGTTACTTTTTCTGAGCTTCAGCTTTTCCATGTGAAATGGAGACACTGTCTAACATTGTTGTGAAGATGAAATGAATTAGGAAAAGTAAAGCATTTAAAAATACTATTTGCAGTCGCTGTTCTGGTGATATATATGTTAATCTCTTTATAGACAAGGAAGTTGAAGAAATGGGGAGTAAGGCAATTTGCCCAGTGTCAAACAGATAGTAAGTAGCAGAGCAGAGGTATCCTATGGCCCATTGTTCAACAAGTAGGGTGGATTTAACAACAACAAATTGAAACTTGAATCATAGTAACCACACTGGTATTCATGTTGAGAAGCAATTTAGTTGCAGGAAAATATTATCTATCCAGTTAATTGTAATTTTAAATGGTTCTAATTTTATAGTTTGGCATGCGTTTAGTTTATAAGCTCAATTTGTCTTATACAGTTGAATAAATGTCATAAGCAAAGTAGTAAAGTTTTATATTTGTGGCCTTAAAAAGCATTATTTATTTATTTATTTTGAGAGTTTGTTTTTTTGTTTGTTTTGTTTTGTTTTTAGCTATAGGGCACGTGCACTTGCCAGAAAGACAGAGACAGAGACACAGAAAGTGAAACCCCCCCCCCCCCCCCCGCCCGCGCAACAAAAAACTCCTACCCCCCCCCCCCCACCAGGAATGGCCAAACAACAATTCCTACTCCTCCATTCTCCTCTCAGGATCTTAGGCACACACGCACACGCGCCTGGTGTGAGTTTAAGCCACCGGGTCCGGGACTTGATCTGCAGTCGACTACATGGGAGTCCAATGACATAGCCATTACGCCAACCACTGGTCCCGTATTTATTTATTTTTTAAAGGCGTAAGCAAAGTTCTTGCTTTTGTCCCCTCTTGGGTACATTTTTGGATTTTGAGAAGCATTAGAATCCATGGTTCTAGTATTTTGAACTAACCGATTTTCAATGAAGGCTGACCTGTCATCTTGACCAATATGAAATAAACGGAGCAAATACTAAATTGTTTCCTATCTGCCAGACACTGCACTCCAGAAATGAGCAGACAGACAGACCGTAAGTCGAACTTAACAGTTCAGAGAAGGAATGCCCTGACTTGCTTTTGGATGCAACCTCTATTGGCTTCATTATCATCATTTACAAAGCAACAGCTATTTTAGTTACTCTAAATTTTATATAGTACTCTATAATCCTAATTTAAGGCAATTTTTGATACAATGTCTGTAACAGGGACTAATTTAGCCAGGCTGAATCTATTTTTTTTTTCTTTGAGAGGTTTTTCACTATAGGGCGCGTGCGCTCGCCAGACAGACAGAGAGAGACAAAGAGACAGAAAGCAAGAAATCACCCCCCCAGGGGGGATGGTCACGCCGCAATCCCTTCTCCCCCATTCTCCTCTCGGGATCTTGGGCACACACGCACGCACACGCGCCCGGAGTGAGTTTTAAGCCACCGGGTCCGGGATGCGAACCGCGGTCGACTACGTGGGAGTCCAGTGACATAGCCAACTGCGCGTTCCCCAGGCTGAATCTATTTTGAGAAATCGAAAATTGTTTTCCTCTCAGCCTTATAACTCTTGTTTGACCGCAGGAACTCCAGGGACACAGGCGGTTAGCCTGGCACTTGAAATAATGAGGGATGGAGCCAGTAGGTGGCATGTTGGTTAAGGCGCTGAACTCTCACTGTTCATGGCTGACCACGGTTTGAGTCCCAGACCTGGCACCTGGCTTTCTCTCTCTCTCATGCACATGCCCTATAGCAAATTAAATAATAATGATAAAATTAAATAAATAATTTTTAAAAAACTGAGGGATATTCTGCTCCAGCTAAAAATTGAAATTCCTGGGACCAGCAGTTAGTGTAATGGCTATGTTGCTGGACTCTCATGTAGCTGACCATGGTTCAAGTCCTGAACCCAGTGGCTTAAACTCAGACGGGGCGCATTTGCGTGTGTGCCCAAGATCCTGAAAGGAGAAAGGAGGAGAAGGGTTTGCGGCATGGCCATCCCCCCTGGGGGGTGATTTCTCACTTTCTGTGTCTCTGTCTCTCTCTGTCTTTCTGGTGAGTGCATGTGCCCTATAGTGAAGACCTCTCCCCCCTCCCAAAAAAAACTTGAAATTCCTATCTTGAAGATGAATTGTTTAATTGTATCCCTTTGCTAAAACTGAAACTCTCGCCTCAAAGATAAATCACTTGATTGTGCCCCACCCAGCTAAAAATTAACCTGATCTGTGCTTTTTTATAGATTACTATTGGCCCCATAGCATCTTCCTTCCCATGTAAAAGCACCTGTAGGTTGGCTGACCAAAGATGTTCTTATATGTCTTCACGATGTGGCCCCACTCAAATAAATTCTCCTTTCTTCTTTCATCAACAATTTTGCCCCTGTATTTTGTTGAGTGGCAAAGGATCAGACCTGTTTTGGGTTCCTGGATGGGGGCATAGGACTCTTTGTCCTGCAACAAGCCTAAAAATACATAAGGAGTTGGAGAACTTCTAGAAACTTCACACAGACACACTCACTATTTCCAAGTAAGTGTGCTGTAGTGTGAATATGTTCCCCAGAAATTGGTGTGTTGGGACTCGCTTATATTGCCTGTATTGTAAAGGTACTGGGTAAGCATTTCATTCCTTCATGGTATCCCAGCATAAGGCCTAGTGGGCAGTGCCTGGTGACTGCAGCACAGAGGCGAAGCGTCATGAGTAGGTTAGTGATGTCTTGCAAGATCCAATGAGTTCTAGCTCCCGTGAGAAGGGTTAGTTCTTTTTTTTTTTTTCTTTTTTAGAATTATTTATTTAATTTTATTTATTCATTCATTTTTTTAAAAAATTTGATCAGAAAGACAGAGAGAGAGCGAGAGTAAAAGAGGGAAAGTGCGAAAGCGAGCCACCAGGTCTGAGACTTGAGCCGT